GAATGCCCACAACGCCGACCCGATTTTTGGATGGTCCATATCGCCGACTAGGGACACTACGCCGACGGACACTACGCCGACAGTGCCCACATTGCCGACAAGTGGACAAGGGACACAACGCCGACCATGCCCACATCGCCGACAGGTGTACAAGGGACACAACGCCGACCATGCCCACTTCGCCGACGGACACTACGCCGACCGTGCCCACATCGCCGACAAGTGTACAAGGGACACTACGCCGACCATGCCCACATCGCCGACAAGTGTGCAAGGGACACTAGGCCGAACGTGCCCACAACGCCGACTATTCGGAAAAAAATTACTAGGGACACTACGCCGACAGCGACCACATCGTCGACAATGGAGAAGTTTCCAGTTTTTTGTTATTAATTAATTATGACAATTCCTCCACAAATGGCAAAGTTACAAGACTTTAAAGTTGCGATTGGAAAAATAATTTCGAGACGTCACTTCATCTAGTTTGCTAAGAGCATGCCTTGACCATGCGATCAAAAAAGAGTGGAGTCGCCTATGAATCGCCTTTACAAATTTTTGTTTGTATGGGAAATCGTATTTCGTGGAATTACGTAAAATGACGTCACCGACACTGCCGTTCCGCGCTGAATACCTAAACTTAAATAATATATTTCTCAGTCATTTATTGCCGGATTTTGAAATTTCTTTTACTGGTTTATTAGTTTTGATCTATACTTTGATGTCATTAGGCTTAATATAGTAATATCATGTGGTTGAACGGTAAAAGATTAATGAATATCGCGATTCTTAAATTTCACATTTAGTCAAACAAAGCGAACAATAACTAGGGCTGATTGTATAAAGGCTGGTTGAACTTCGCTTGTAGTTAACAACTGGATTAAGGTATAAGAATGGTTAAAATTTGACGTTTTGTCAAACTTCAACCAATTAGGTATCTTAACCCATTGATGTAATCCAAACGAGGTTTAATCTGCTTTATACAACCGACCCTTATGCCCGTCAAGAATCAAGACGGGATTCATGAAACTAGATTAGCAAATACGATCTTAAATAAACAACCAGTTATAATCGATCATTTGCGCATGAATCTACCATTATATCAACTATTGGTGACGTTTTCTGTCAATCCCAGAATTAATCTTCGATCTCGGATCAATCTACGAGTTAGTACGGGCATTAGTGTCCGCTTTACTAACAATGACACTTACTAAAAATCTTATATTGCTTGGCCACCTTGGATTATAAGGTACGGTGCAATTCCATTCTGGTGCTAATCAATGATTAACTTTGACCATCGTTTATATAATAAAGATTTATTTTTATTGTTTAATGTGTACAGAATATGCTAAACAAGATTAGTTCATATTTTATGAATTTAATATTAACATAAGCACATATTTTAACTAATGAATTACTTTTTACTCCGTATTCACATCTTCTCATAGTGGAATACATCCGTTTTTTCTCATAAAATATATTTTTATTTCAATTTGCTACCCCTCTTCAGCTAATTTCTTAAAATGTACTGATTATCTATTCAATATCCATAAGGGTTTTAGAAATTCTAATCCGTTTTTCTTATTCCTCGAGCAATAATGAAATAACCTTTTCTGTAAATGTACGCTCTGCCTAATTTGCGCCTGCTATTTCCTGTCGGTCTCTGTATTCCCATTATACTCTACCATAAATTTACCAAAATGTTGTCTTAAAATCTGCATAGTTGCAGGTTTTTCTTAGAAAAACCCGTAAATACGGAATTGCGGATTAATGTTTAAAGTAGGTGCCGCTCTTAGTAAAATATTGTTTACAGGTAGAGTGAGAATTTTCACCCTTTACTATGGGAACCTTTGCTGTCGGTCTCTGTATTTCCATTATGTATATTCCATCGTGACTTTATCAAAATGTTGTCCCAACATCTGCATAGGTAATTGAAGGTTTTTCTTAGAAAAATCTGTATTAGGGTCATAGGTAAATACAGAATTGCGGATTAATGTTCAAAGAAGGTGCCGCTCTTAGTAAAATATTGTTTACAGGTAGTGAGATTTTTGACCTTTTTCGGTAGATAGGAACTTATACTACGGTAATTACTAACTGCATTTTAAACCAAGAAAGAATTTCTTTTAGTACAAACAAGGTAAATGTGTATTACTGTTTGTGGGGGTAGCAAATTATTCATAAGTAGGTACTAATTTACGACCTGCTTTAATTTTGCTATGACATGACGTCAGATACTGTGACGAAACGCCAGTGAAACAAAGTTACACACTTTAGTTTTATACGCACTGAAATAACTTGCATTGGCGAAGAATAAAAATAATGAATTCTACCACCGTGCCACCCTTTGAATTTGTGTTTATCTCGATAATTTCGGTGATTTGACAATTTTTGATAACACGATACCAATGTAAGTGTAAAAACGCTTAAAATATTTACACCTAGGTAGCAAATTGAAATAAAAATATAGTTTATGAGAAAAAACGGATGTATTCCACTATGGGAAGATGTGAATATGGAGTAAAAAGTAATTCATTTGTTAAAATATGTGCTTATGAACATTAAATTCATAAAATATGAACTAATCTTGTTTAGCATATTTTGTACACATTAAACATTAAAAATAAATCGTTACTCAATTACATAAACGATGGTCAAAGTTAATCATTGATTAAAAGTACCAGAATGGGATACACCTTACCTTATAATCCAAGGTGGCCAAGCAATATAAGATTTTTAGTAAGTGTCATTGTTAGTAAAGCGGACACTAATGCCCGTACTAACTCGTAGATTGATCCGAGATCGAAGATTAATTCTGGGATTGACAGAAAACGTCACCAATAGTTGATATAATGGTAGATTCATGCGCAAATGATCGATTATAACTGGTTGTTTATTTAAGATCGTATTTGCTAATCTAGTTTCATGAATCCCGTCTTGATTCTTGACGGGCATAAGGGTCGGTTGTATAAAGCAGATTAAACCTCGTTTGGATTATATCAATGGGTTAAGATACCTAATTGGTTGAAGTTTGACAAAACGTCAAATTTTAACCATTCTTACCTTAATCCAGTTGTTAACTACAAGCGAAGTTCAACCAGCCTTTATACAATCAGCCCTAGTTATTGTTCGCTTTGTTTGACTAAATGTGAAATTTAAGAATCGCGATATTTTACCGTTCAACCAACCTTTTTTTCAAATTAAAAAAAACGCGATAAATTCTTCTATACTTCCGGTGTAAAGATTTACGAATTTCAGTTTATCAAAACACAGCAACTATCAAATAGGGACAATTGATATTACTATATTAAGCATAATGACATCAAAATATAGATCAAAACTAATAAACCAGTAAAAGAAATTTCAAAATCCGGAAATAAATGACAAAAATATATTATTTAAGTTTAGGTATTCAGCGCGGAACGGCAGTGTCGGTGACGTCATTTTACGTAATTCCAGGAAATACGATTTCCCATATAAACAAAAATTTTTAAAGGCGATTCATAGGCGATACCACTCTTTTTTGATCGCATGCTCAAGACATGCTCTTAGAAAACTAGGTGAAGTGACGTCCCGAAATTATTATTCCAATCGCAACTTTAGTCTTGTAACTTTGGGATTTGTGGAGTAATTTTATTGATTCTATCACATTTTTGTTTCATTTTACTTAAATTTTCATAATTAATTTATACCAAAAAGCTGGAAACTTCTCCATTGTCGACGATGTGGTCGCTGTCGGCGTAGTGTCCCTAGTAATTTTTTTTGCGAATAGTCGGCGTTGTGGGCACGTTCGGTCTAGTGTCCCTTGCACACTTGTCGGCGATGTGGGCATGGTCGGCGTAGTGTCCCTTATACACTTGTCGGCGATGTGGGCACGGTCGGCGAAGTGGGCATGGTCGGCGTTGTGTCCCTTGTACACTTGTCGGCGATGTGGGCATGGTCGGCGTTGTGTCCCTTGTCCACTTGTCGGCGATGTGGGCATTGTCGGCGTAGTGTCCATCGGCGTAGTGTCCCTAGTCGGCGATATGGACCATCCAAAAATCGGGTCGGCGATGTGGGCATTCGGCGTAGTGTCCTAGACCCCTCCGGACCCGAATTGCGTTAATAGTGATTACGTTTTTTCAATAAATAACGTAACGCCTGACAAATTTTCCGGTAAATATTTCACAGCCGTTACAGTCAACGGGATACAGACAAAAATGGAAGTGGATTCGGGCGCTGGCTATTCGATTATAGGCCGATCGTTGTTCCAAAAAATCTCGAACGGGAATCACCTGAAATTGAAGAAGAGTCATGTTATCTTAAGAGACTACCAAAACAACCCGATACCAACAGTGGGAGAATGTTTGGTGGAGGTGCGTCGAGGTTCACGGAGGTCAACCCTTCCGCTAATCATCACCGAAGGAAACCGCCCGAGTCTTTTAGGCAGAAACTGGTTCCAAGAGCTGGGTCTAACTGTTTCCGGGGTAAGTCACGTTGACGGTACTCCTAATTACGCACGCGAATATCCTGAGGTATTTTGCGGGAATTTGGGCGCATACCGGGGGCCTCCAGTAAGTTTTTCGGTAGACGCGTCTGTGAAGCCGATTCTATTGCGAGCTCGTAAGGTTCCTTTCGCTCTAAAGGACAAAATAGAGAGGGAACTGGACAAACTGATAAGTCAAGGCGTGCTAGAACCAATCTCATATCCAAGGTGGGGCACTCCTATCGTTACCGTTTGCAAGGGCAATGGGGAGGTGCGAATTTGCGGGGATTACAGGTCCACCCTTAACCGCGCATTACGTCCTGAACCGTACCCGGTGCCGTCGGTACAAGGAATTTTATCCGCGCTCGCTGGCGGGAAAGTGTTCGCTAAATTGGATTTAGCCTAGGCTTACCTACAGTTGTGTGCCGATCGCGAGGCTGCGGAAGCACAGACAATAATAACGCATAAGGGGGCTTTTACATGCAATCGTTTGCAATTCGGAATTTCCGTCGCGCCTCAGATATTCCAAAAATTCATGGACATGAGACTGGAGGGTATCTCGGGAGTGTTACCGTACTACGACGACATACTAGTCGTGGGAAGTTCCGATGACGATTTAGACACTAAAGTGCGCACGGTACTGTCGAAATTTCGTGAAGACGGGCTACAATTGCGCCGGGAAAAATGTATTTTTCGTACAAAATCCATTGAATTCCTCGGGTTTAGAATAAGCGAAGACGGTATTCGCCCAACGAAAGATAAAATCGCGGCAATAGTAAACGCGCCTCCTCCAACTAATGTGACAGAATTACAAGCATTTTTGGGGTTGGTCAATTTTTATCACGTGTTCATGAAGGACAAAGCGACCATCGCTAAACCTTTACATGCGTTACTTCAAAAGAACGCTCAATGGCAATGGCGAACGTCAGAACGAGAGGCTTTCCAAGCTTTAAAGGATTGCTTAATCAGGGAGCCCGTGCTGGCTCACTACAATGATCGGAGAAACTTATTTTTGACTTGCGACGCGAGTCCGTATGGGGTAGGTTGCGTGCTTAGTCAGTTGGACGACCGGGGGCGAGACGTTCCAGTAGCGTATCACAGCCGTTCTTTGTCGTCAGCTGAGAGGAAATACGCTCAAATCGACAAGGAGGCACTCGCTATCATCACGGGTGTTAAAAAGTTTCACGAATACATCTACGGCCGAGGGGTGACAATAACAACGGACCATAAACCTTTATTGGGAGTCTTCAATCCGAAGAAGGGGGTTCCAGACATTCTATCACCTAGGATGCTAAGATGGACACTAATGCTATCTGCGTACGACTACGAACTAAGGTACGTGCCAGGAGCTAAGATCCAGAATGCGGACGCATTAAGCAGACTGCCCCAAAAAATCAAGGTTCCAGAACCTCCGCCATCTGAAGACGTCTTAATGCTGGAAAACATTCCAGAAAAGCTAATCAGCGCCAGAGAAATTGCCCAGGAAACCAAACGAGATCCTGTTTTATCAAGGGTTATGCAGTGGATCTGGAAGGGATGGCCTGACAACGGGAAAAAATTGCCAGACGAATTTACTCCTTACTTACAACGCAAACATGAGCTAAATTGCTACCAAGATTGTCTCCTGTGGGGCACCAGGGTTATCGTTCCACTAGGGGTGAGGGACACGGTGCTAAAAATGCTCCATTCAGCTCACCCAGGTATCGTCAAGATGAAATCTCTCGCGCGTTCGTACGTATGGTGGCCGAATATTGACAAGCAAATTGAGAAGCTGGTTGGGTTGTGTAGAGAATGCCAAGAAACGAGAAACATGCCGAGGAAGTCGTCTATTCATCCTTGGGAGTGGGCTAGAGCTCCGTGGTCGCGTATCCACATTGATCACGCCGGACCAATGAAAGGAAAACTTTTTCTGGTAGTGACCGACGCCTATTCCAAATGGCTCGAGGTAAAACTAGTGCCAAATACCTCGAGTGCTGTTACAATCGGGGTGCTACGAGAATTGTTCGCCACCCACGGCATACCGGATGTTGTCGTATCCGACAATGGAACGAGTTTCAGCTCTGCCGAATTTAAGCAGTTCCTGAAAAACAACATGATTCGACAAGCTTTAGTGGCACCATACCATCCGAGCAGTAATGGGCAAGCGGAAAGAATGGTGCAAAATGTAAAAAACGCTATCCGGAAAATGACCGAGGGAACAGCAGAAGGAAATCTACAGTTGGCTCTAAGCAGATACTTATTAGCCCAACACATTACACCACACTGCACAACAGGCCGATCACCGGCGGAGATCTTGATGGGGCGAAAGCTAAACACCGTCTATGATCGTATGCAGCCTGATTTCCGTAAGGAAATGATGGACAAACAAGAAGACGAATGTCCAATCCCAGGGAAAGATCGAGTGTTCCAAGATGGAGATGCAGTTTTCGCAAGGTCATTCACACCAGGATCAAAATGGCTGCCAGCACAAGTCGTGACTACTACGGGACCCGTAAGTTACCGTGTACAAACACCAGATGGGCAAACATTACGCCGCCATGCCGACCAAATTAGGGCTCGGGTAGAAGAACCGACTGAAAGTTTGGGAGCACTGGGTGATCCCGAAATTCCACCGACAACACCAGAAGCTGCCAGCTGCAGCGAACCGCAGCAGCAGGACAACGGGAATAGCCAAGTCGTGGAAATCAAGAAGCCACCAGAAAGATCGAGGCGGGTTCCAAAATACTTGGAAGATTTCGTGCCGTAGTTTCAATCCGGGGGGAAGGAGTGTGGTGTATGCGCTAGTGCTATTTCTTAAGTTGGCAATAGCGTGTCATGGAGACCGCATGTAAATAAAGTAGTTATTCACCTCAACAGTCTTTGAATTACGATACCCACGTGTTACACCTTTTAATATCCACCCAGCGTGTGAGAAGATACAAAAGTATATAATGTACTATTGTACTCCGTGGTCTAAATCAACGTGTTTTGTAATCCATTTAAGGGACTAAAGTGTCACTTGAAGACTATAGAAACCGTTGCTGTTCATAGTCACGCAAGTTGCACGTTTTGCTGGTGGAAATGTGAACCGTGCGGCGTGCACACCTCATAGATTGATGGTTTTTTTTTTGTCAATCGAACATAGGGAAATTATATTACATAAAAAATCGTATGTTCGCATTTAAAAAAATTAACTGTATGTACATTTTCGTTTTGAGGAGTACTTAATTAAACCATACTTGTAGCAAATCACACCAGAAAAAGTGTCACCATCTCCCGGTCTATTGGCTATTGCCTCGGAATATTATGAACTTCGTCCAAGCGAAATGCGCTACTTACCTACATTCGTTATTGCTTAAATAACTATTGGGAGTATATCGCCTCGTCCACACAAAATGATCTTGAAGACAGCGATCACAGCTCAGAACCACATCGACAAGAACCGTGCTTGACAAACCCCAGTTCAGAAGTGTTTGACTTTGAGAACGCGTTAGCTCAGAACCACTTTAGTTCAGGACACAACCCGCGTGACCTTCACTGACCTCAACACTAGTAATTTTTGTAGACTACGTGCGACAATGTAGTAGAAATGAGATAAAATGAAATAGTTTTTCCTTTTATTTGTCATAAACCTACATTGACAAACTTACATTAAACAACCAGAAAACATCAAACTGATCTACACGAAATATTAAACAAAGCAGTGTTGCTACTAATCTATACAATCACAACAAAATGTCGATGTACCATCTCAATCGAATTCAATTGTGGTGGAATTATAGTGAATCGTTCTCGCGTTATGTGGTAAGAATTGAGTTAAGTGTGGCCATGTTTTGTATGTGAATAAAATATTTTTTGGTACAAATTCAAAAAGTGAGTGTTGGGATTTACTGTTGAAAAACGCTTTCAATAAAGAGAATGATAACGCACGTTCGTCATTCTGATGCAGTACGAAGTAAAGCACGTTTTAAATAACTACTTGCTTGTTTTGGTACCAACTCATTCCGAGTTCAATAAAGAATACCGTCATGGACAGCGCCAATCCAAATCCCAGCAGAGCGAACGTGAAACACAGGTGGCCTAAGTTTAGAGGTACATTCTCCTCATCTACAGGTCTTGGCATCTTCAGATACGTCTCCTTCAAGTCGTTCGAGATCTTATTCCTTATCCCAGATTCTGTAAATGCTGCAATAAAGCGCTCTATGTACACGCTAGAGTAATGGTTGGGAAAATACTCCAGTCGCATAATTACTTGGCCGAATATAGTGTTGTCTGAAAATCCGTATGCGTTATGTTTAAAGGGATTCATTCTCTTTATGATAGGGAAGTCGTCTTCTAAGATTATAACTGCACAATTACGATAATCGTGCAGATTAATGAAAGCGTCGACATATTGATTTAAGTTTATCACGGGAACGGTCATATTCTTCAATTTTGTGTACAATCTGCAGCCGGTGTCGTTAAGATTAAATTGCTCCCTTATAAATTTATGTGGAATGTATATAGGTAAATTAGACTCTGCCAGTTGCTGTAAATTGCTGATCTGGAACTCGTATTGCGGTTGGGTTAAGATATTAATTAAATTGGATGTGAAGCCACAACTTATGTGGATGACGTATATTAAATACGTGATTAAGACGCAACGTAGAATATGCGATTTTGGAACTGTACCAATTGAACCCAGAATTGTAACCGATGTCACGTTTGTCACCGCATCCGCCATGTTTCCAACAGTCCAGCTCCTTTTTTTGCACGACAAAATAACCCACCACGCGATGGTGACAGTGATGAAGGTGAAGCCGATTAAAATCCAAACTGTTTTTTCAAAAGTAACGAAAATTACCTCCATCGGTGGTAGGACATTAGCACGAGGTACCATCCAATATATGTTCTCTCTATGTATTTCTGATGAACATTGATGAACATACATAAAGGTAAGTTTCGCATCGATAAATTTCACAGGAACGCTGGGTGGGGTGGAAGCGTTGCTTTCTACTGTGGTATCTTGGGATATCCCATTGAGCTTTCCATTGAAATAATACGTCAATAATTTAAGGAAGTAACGTTTGTAAGCGGTATTAACCGACTGTTTCTCATTTTCGTCTAATACTCCTGTTTCTCGCTGAATGTTTTTCAACGTAATCGGGCATCCATTTAGGTTTATCGGAATGTTGGTATATTTTGTTTCCATTTCATCATACCAACTATGGTTATAGATTACAGTTGCCAATCTTCCACACTCATTCCCTACTTCAAAACGGTTCCCTGTATGCAAAATTTCATCTTCGTATACGTAAATAAAAACATTTGAAACACCAAACCCCCATAAACGCTGGAACAGTTGATTTATTTCTTGTTTCAAGTAGGCGGAGATAATTATTAGTAACCTTAAATTTCCAAAGCCCTTTCGGTGTGCTCTGAATCTCAACGTGACGAGTTGCTTTACTTGTTCCCTGTGCATGTCCATATCGTTTACACACATAATCACGTGATCTGTATTATAAATGTGATAGCGGCTACTAATACTTTGTTTCATATTTAAAACTGTTTTAGGAATTGTAGATCCCCACACGCTGTCGCATAATTCACTATCATCTGTCAAGATGGTCGTTGCTTCAGAGTCGTAGAAGATATTTTTAATAATCTTTTCGGCGCATATTTTGTTTGATGTACTTTGATTTTTTTGCAATTTCATACCACCTGCCCCTACGCAAAGCGAGAGGTGCAATAACAAACAGACATTTGTTAACACCATCACTATAAACTTAGCACTACTCCATAAAAGCTTTAGAATCGTAATATCGCATGTTTAAATAATCCATTATTTGCTTTTACCCTGTTGTTTATACAATGGTAATTATATAATAATTATTTTCTAATTAGGTGCCCTTTTCTATAATATAATAAATTGATTTTGTTGCATGTAAATGGGGAAGGTACTTAGACAGGGGCCTATTTAGGGGGTCAGATATATTTTTCATTTTTTTGTGGGAATTTACAGGGCAACGGCAGCGGCGTCAATATTAGTCGAAATATTTTACATGACTACTAAACCCCCCGTCCTACGAGAGCGACAAATAAGTAAATAGCGGGCGACGCGTGCAGGAGAGGTGCGAACGCGGAACGATGTGTACAGCCAGAGCAATATCAAGCGATATATTTAGCATTGGAAATGCTTATGTTTTGTGTATGGGTAATAAGTTACCAGTTTCGTCAAGCAGAAAAGAAGACAGTGGTGTCGCATCAACCGTTGATTGTACCGTACTTGGCCGCAATCGGTAAGTTAAGGAAAAGTCGCGGATACTGTCCATACGTTACTTACTTAATACTGCGCAATTGTTTTTTTTAATTCCAATCTAAAATTCTCCACATCTCCTTTAATAGGACTACGAGCATTTTATGAGGCTTATTATTCAGAAAGTCTACGTTTGCGACACGAGCGAGTTTGAGAGCCAGTGAAGCAAGTGATCCCGGGTGAATAAGGGTTATTTGTGTTTTATACGAGGTGCGGCTATTAAATAACGAGACTGGTTACGAAAAAGGTCTTTATTATAAACATTACAGATCTAACGAATGCTCCCCTTCAATATACTCCCCTTCCCTCTGCACACACCGAATAATTCGTTTTTTCCACTGTTGGAAGCAGTGCTGAAAGTCTTCTTTTGTAAGCGCTTTAAGTAGCTCCGTCGTTGTTTGCTTCACCTTCTCCATTGACCCAAAACGAGTTCCATTTAGGGCAGACTTGATCTTGGGAAATAGACAGAAGTCGCAGGGCGCTAAATGGGGCGAATACGGCGCATGTTCAACCACTGCGATGCTTTTATCGGTTAAAAAACGTTTTACAGACAGCGCGTTATGAACAGGTGCGTTGTCTTGATGCAAGATCCACGACTTGTCTTTCCATAACTGCGGCCGTCTCCTACGAACTCGCCCTCGCAGTGTTACCAGGACTTGCAAATAATAAGTTCGTTTCACAGTTTGACCCTCTGGAACCCATTGAGTCATCACGACGCCGTTAATGTCGAAGAAAACAATGAGCATTGCTTTGAATTTGGATTTCGACATCCTTGCTTTTTTCATTCTCGGAGTTTCAACATCATACTGGAAAATCCAAGTTTCCTCGCATGTGATGACCTTTGCAACAATCCAGGCTCTTCCACTAACCTTTCAAGAACATCTGAACAGATCTGGTGGCGCACAAGTGTTTGTTCTGGGGTCAAGTTTTGCGGTACGACGCGAGAAAAAAACACGCTGGCTTCAAAACGCAATAGCATAAATACTACTCAACGCACAAAAACGTCTTTTTGGACTGGAATAGGTGACACTTCAAGGTTTCCTACGATGTGTTCGTTTCCCCCTCTACACTTCTGATACGCGTTCTGCGCGCGCAGTCTCGTTATATAATAGCCGGACCTCGTATATGGCGTTATACGGTTATCATTTCCAATGTCTCCGATGGTTGCAAGGATTGCGAAACCTGTAAATTTTTTTATTGGACCAAATAGATTAGTAATCAGAATTCCAAAATTGATTCTATGCGCTAATTTAATTTTATATGTAAATGTAATTGTCTTGAAGAGGTCCCTTTTCCTTTACCTAACGGCAAGGATGTTAATTACACTACGAATGATTCCCATCATTCTGTAGATCTCATGTCCATTTTCTTTTCAATCTTCGTTTATTGGGTTGTTGTACGCTAAAATATCGTTGAGAGGACCTATAAACAGTAGCGTAACTTCATTTCAGGGACCCGTCTTCAAAAATATTTTGTGGCTCTTTCTACTTGGATTTCTAATTGCAACTATCTTACAAATATAAATGAAAGTTTACTAGAATACACCCCAGAAGATTCGGATTCTTTAACAAAGATAACATCCTCATATCGATCTTCTGACGTTACTTGACTTTGACTTTTTAAAAAAACTTGATGGTTAGGGCTAGCTGCAGGAATTGCTTATGAAAGCTTCAGGAATTGATCAATTTTAGCCAATTTGTTTCTACTGTTCGGCGTTTCTTTTTTGCTTTTCTCTTGTAAGTCCCACTTTGGTATTTTCGTCCACTCTGAGATGTCTAATTTCATAGTTTCAAACGACAAGCACCGTTAGCGCCGCTGGAGATACATTAACCTTTAATACAATGCTGTCAGCAATTTGTAAACAATGTTAATGTGTAACGGGCACTGAACTATAATTAAATTGGAACGCCGGCTCCGTCTGCAAGCGCGATCCGAGAGAGAGGGCCACAAGGGGATATCTCAATATCTGTCTTAGACCATATGGTAGGTTAGGATTAGCTCTATGCTTGCAATACAAAATGGGTGGTCACGGATAGAGGGCACTGTAGTCGTGGGTATGTGAATCTGAGGGTAAACTAAAGTCGTGTAAACACCACTTGGATCACGTAAAGAGTAGCTTTTATAGTAACCGCGTAGTACGGGAAGGTTTAAATACTCTTGATTATCTTCTATAGCCCACAAATAAGGAATAGATTTGCTTTTTTGGCATATCTAAACGATTAATTAATTGACGTTTGTTAATTTATAGGCTGACAGTTTCAAATCGTGTCTAATCGGACAACTTCGGACAGACTCGTTTACCCTGAAACTCACATACCCAGGCGATGTATGTCCTTGACCACATTTGAGTTACAATTAGCAGTCCATGTACTATATGGTCTAAGATCTCTGTCCTATTCTCTAGCATGCATAGAGCAGCCTATTTGATATGTTTTGAATTTATATTAGTGATCAGTTGCCCAATGAGTGACAGTAATCTCCCTTGCAGTTATTGTTGAAATATGTAATATTTGGTGTGTTACTTTGCAAACGCCTTGTATTTGTTTGACCTTCAACATTCTATTCTATAGTTTACAGAACAGTTTTAACATGTTCGCGTTCGCGCGTTTTGTGTGGTTATGTCAGATTTCCTTTCATTGTTTCTTTTACAAATAAAGTTTATCATAATAAATCTTAGACCATATAGTACATGGACTGCTATTCGCCCTATGCTTTCAATACAAAATGGATGGTCACGGATAGAGGGCACTGTAGTCGTGGGTATGTGAATCTCAGGGTAAACTAAAGTCGTGTAAACACCACTAGGATCGCTTAAAGGGCAGCTTTATAGTAACGGCGTAGTACGGGAAGCTTTAAATGCTCTTCATTATTTGCTATATACGTCTGCAAATAAGAATAAGTTTGCTTTTTTGGGATATCTAGGCGATTAATTAATTGACGTTTGTTAATTTATAGGTTGACAGTTTCAAATCGTGTCTCATCGGACAACTTCGGACAGACTCGTTTACCCTGAAACTCACATACCCAGGCGATGTCCTTGACCATATTTTAGTTACAATTAGCAGTCCATGTACTATATGGTCTAAGTAATAAATGTATACCTACGTATCATAACAGCGAGGTTTAATTAATAATCTCAACAGTTATCTCTCTCTCGGCGCGCTACGTTTCTATGGCAGAGGCAGACACCGCTAGTGCGCGTTCCACTTTATAGTTCAGTTCATGTGCTGATTAATAAAATAAACATCAGCTGGCGCATTTGTGGTGGGGGTAGCCGCAGCAGCCACCCACGCATGTATAATAAAAATAAACTTAAAATCATAGTAAGAAAGATGAATCTTTGTAGGCTCGTTTATTAGCCTATGTATAAATGAAAAAAAATAGCCAGCTGACTGCGCCGCGGTGGATTATACGTCAGCTGATTGGATAAACATGTAAAAAAAAACGTTAGATAAAATTAAAGTAAGAAAGCTGAATTTTGGTGAAATAACAGTTTACTACATCAGTTTTGAGAAAAAAATACTCCGCTGCAATTTCCATGGTGGGAAAGTCATCAGCTGGTTCACGAAAGATGATATGCGCCCGTATTTTGTGGGCGTCAGCTGATGACTTTTCCACCGCGGAAACTCCAGCGGACTATTTTTTTTATAAAACTGATACAGTAAACTATTGTTGTAACAAATTACAACTTTGTTAATTTGATTCTTGCTTTTTTAGAGCGAGTTTCGTGCTGTATTTATGAAAATTAGCTCGATTCGGCAATTATCGATTGAACACTTTTTATTATTTACTTTTTTTTATTTGTATGAATACTCAGAAATTCTGTGACATTATATAATAGCACAACAGTTGCTGCTGAGCGTCTCTACACGTTTCAGTGAGGAGGTTATAGCTCATCGACCCTGGACCCATCCACAGCTACCTGCGGATGAACGCTACCCCTCCAATTATAGCTGGTGAACTCGTAGAGAACAGATCGCGATGTCTAACGTACAGTGTTTTTGCGTTTTCTGCTCCAAAAAAACTGGAAATTTAAAATCTTTTGAAGTGGAGTCATTGAACAAGAGCTTACTCGATTTTCATTTTTAATTTCTTTTAAAATGCACCGATTTTGATGAAAATGTTATCGGACCTTTTTGAGACAATTTCGGATCGATTCCGAGAATTTCGCTACTGGGAAATTCTCCTGAGCGGCTGGGGAGCATCGTCGTCGAAGTGCGCGGGCGCGGTTATAAATTCGCCGTAGCTATACGGTTAGGGTTAGGGCGTCGAGGCGCCGGCGCGGGGGGGTAGGGATAGTTGGGGCAACTTTCGATGGGGTAAAGAAAATTCCTCCGGCGACCTACGGGGTAGCTGCCATAAGAAGCGAAAAAATCGAAAATTTTAGAAAAAAATTCGTAACTCGAAAACTTCACCGGAACTTTTTTTCGCGCTTTCTGAGACGTCGGGCGACGTGAAAGAGCGTATTTGTGCCGGGGTGCGATTCAATTCTATAGCCCCGTTTGGGAACCGCGCGACCCGGAGGGTCGCTCTCGAAAAGGTGGTTTTCCGCATTTTCCAACTTTGACGCCTTCTACAGGCCGAACCGTTCGAGTTAGAGCAAAACGTACAATTGCGCGATTGTAGATCTCGACGAGACCTACGAGAGGGGGGTGAGAGGTGAAAAACCGGAGATTTTGAATAGCGCGTTCCGGCAAAGAGATACAGCGTCGGAATCTGCGTCGATACCTGCGGGCAAGTTTTCTCTTTCTTTTTCCGTTTACCTCGAGGAGGTAACTCGGACGACGGCGTCGTGGTAAATTTTCTCCCGAAGGCTGCAAAAGTCACGTGACCGCTTCGTTTTGTTTTTCGCCCACATTAAGCGCCGAAGATTGCCGAACGCGCTGTACTGTCTTTTTAATTAATTGCGAGTTTAATTTGAGACGGAGAATTTCGATCGAGGTCTCAAAAATTCGAGAAAACTACGAGGAACGTGTTAAAATCGGTTTCGGGACGGTGCGTGATCGATTTGTGTTCGAAACTAAGCTAATTTTCATAAATGCAGCATCCAACTCGCTCTAAAAAAGCAAGAATCAAATTAACAAAGTTATAATTTGTTACAACAATAGTTTACTATATCACTTTTATAAAAAAAATAGTCCGCTGGAGTTTCCGCGGTGGAAAAGTCATCAGCTGACGGCCACAAAATACGGGCGCATATCATCTTTCGTGAACCAGCTGATGACTTTCCCACCATGGAAATTGCAGCGGAGTATTTTTTTCTCAAAACTGATGTAGTAAACTATTATTTCACCAAAATTCAGCTTTCTTACTTTAATTTTATCTAACGTTTTTTTTTACATGTTTATCCAATCAGCTGACGTATAATCCACCGCGGTGCAGTCAGCTGACTATTTTTTTTTTCATTTATACATAGGCTAATAAACGAGCCTACAAAGATTCATCTTTCTTAATATGATTTTAACTTTATTTTTATTATACATGCGTGGGTGGCTGCTACGGCTACCCCCACCGCTATCTAGCCAGCTGACGTTTATTTCGTTAATCAGTGCATCTAACTAAATAGACGCCAAAAAAAATTTCCAGCTTTCTTACTATAACGACCCTCAAATGTCAGCTGGCTCCCGGACTATATGTAAACAAAAATTCCAAAGGTGACTCGACAGCAACTCATTTTTGATCGCATAGTATATGTAGGAAATAGTGTCTTGATTTAGCTTTGCTGATTTTGAATTTGAAGTTTATTGGTTCATTGTAAAGTTTAGCGTCACTTTGCTTTCTGCGCCGAATCTGAGCCTAGTTGATTTTTGTTCGAACTTTAATTTTAACTGTTAACTTTTGTGTAATACTTGTGCCATAATAAAAGGTAACGTACTTAATTTTAATTGTAATTCTTCGGATTATTGTGACTTCTATCGACTTCAGCGACTTGTAACTAGGAGTAGGTAACCCATGAATTTATTTGTTTCACTTTAAATGTTATCCTTATTTTGATTTGTTATATTGGCCAGTTTGTTAATGTTCCTTCGTTGATTAAATTCGTTTAGTTTAATTATCGACTTCAATTCTTTGTGTATGAATGTGCATTTTTTGAATGTCTTTAACCAGTTTAGCTTTGTTTTCCTCAAAAGTGAAAAATCGCTATTGGCTGCACTTTGTCGTCCGTCCGTCCGTCACACATACTCCTTTTACACGACTGAACCGATTTGGGCGATATGAGGTCATTTCAAATGGCTTGGTCCAAGGATTTCGTGCATATCGATATTTTTGGTTTTGCGCATGCGCAGTATCAAAAATTTGGTTTAACGCATGTACAAGCTAACTTTTTTATTTATTAAGATATTTCAATGAAACTTCATATGTAGACTCTATACGAATATAAGTAAAATTAACGACGTTGTCAAAATATTGTTTTGCGCATGCGCAATGCCAATTTTCTTATTTAAAAAAGCATTTACATGAAACCGTTTAAATGAAATTTTATACATAGGCACTTGGAAGAAAGGCAAATCTATCACCAGCTGCAAAATTTGGTTTGGCGCATGCGCAGTGCCAACTTCCACATTTAAAAAAGCATTTACATGAAATTTAATACATAGGGACTTGGAATAAAAGCAATTCTAACGCCAGTTTTAAAATTTGGTTTTGCGCATGCAATAACAGTAGCAGTACCATCTGGGTGCTGTGTATGATAGATAAGATAATGTGGAATTTTTATACTTATAGGTCCTTGCTGTAAAGTGTGTTTTCGTTATAAGCAAGATATCAATGTTGTTAATATTAAGGAAAATTTCTAGCGACATTTATAAAGCATATCTAAATAATAATAAAATAAAAAAATTAAACAACTTTTAAAAACACCAGTCAACAGAGCACAGAATCTGAACTAAAAATTAAAAAAATACAATTTTCGTTGAAAAAATGTTGGGATCTTTTCGTTGTTCATAGTTGTCAATCTATTCTTAAGATTCAAACACTTTTTCAACGAAAATTTTATTTTTTTGATTTTTAATTCAGTTGAAGAAAGGTGTTTCTGTAAGTTTTTTTAATTTTTTTATTTCACTTTGGAGCTGGAGAAGAACCATCGTCAAGTATTACTGCTGATAATACATTTTTTTAATATATTCTATTGGCAGGCAAAAAAGATAAACAAAGCTAACGAACGATATTTATTTGAATAGAGTAAGAATAGGTGATTTAATGGAGAGCTGCGGGCAGGGCCATAGCCAGATTAATTACTTAAGCGGACGAATAAATGTACAGAGCAGGCAGCCGAAAGTTCATGGGGTGCGGGGTCACGTAAAAAGGTTATCGGAACTAACCTCATTTTTTCAATGTATGCAATTCAAAAAGTTAAAAAAGTTTTTACTTACTAAATCTTAAAATATTCAAAAATTGCATGAATTTTTTGTTATTTTTTATACTATTTGAACCTTATTTAATATCATTCCTGGTGTGCCTCTAGATTAAAATATATAAGTATGGCGTTCCATTTAAAAAAAATTAGGTTAGTTCTAATACCTTGTTTTTGCCCATAAGTGAAAAACAAAAGGCTGTAGGCCAGTTTAGTTTTGAACATCGAGGTAACCTCAAAAAAAAACATGGGGGCTGTGCGCAATTTTTTTCTATCAATTATAGTTTAAGAGTGACCCCCATACTAACGACCACATTTGGCCACCCTACACAGACAAAATAATTTATACACAAGCGTCAAATTGTCCAATTTTAATAGTGGAATAATTCCGAATATATTTGATCATTTATGACCACGCTATATATTGGGTCGTCTTAACCAATTTTCAAGAGCGGACAAAGTGAGTTTCAAGAGCGGACTAAGCCTGCTCTTGCCCCTCTCTGGCTACGGCCCTGCTGCGGAAAACACGAAATGATACATTATTCATGGATATGAAATATGAATGAATGTGACCGTACTTTGGATTGTACATTCTTGTACGCGCGAGATTGAGTTCTGTGGATTAATCTCGTTTACTTGTTTGTGAAACCTTAATTTTCGTTTTTTAATTTGCATTTGTGTTCTTTAACTAAGATTGTTCTTTTTTCATCTTTTGTAAGTACTTTTGACTGGAAAATAAAAAGATTATCGTTGCATCTCTTGTTTAATATTAATAAATAATTGAAAATTTGTTCTATGGGCCAAACCTGAAAATTAAGGATTCATTTTATCATCCCTCGTTTAAAGATAGGTCATTTCAGCCATACACCCATTTCCATGGGGGAAAGGGTATGGCCTTGATAAACAATTTTCTTTCATTCGCGACCGTGACATATCACCTCTATTTTATTTATTTGCCTTTATTTTTGAATGGGCGGGGTTTCGGCCAAGGCTGCTCTACCAACCCAATCCCCCCTATACATTTACAAATATCCATGCTCGAACCCGGATTCGAACCAGGGATCCTTAGCACCACAGTCCAGCTTTAACTGAACAGCGCCACACGAGTTTTTGAATATTTAAAAAAATGAGCTCCTCTAAAGCTTAGACATTTAAGCTTGTCTCTTAAACTTTTAGAAAACAAATCGTCATCATAGAAAATTCAATGGAATCAGTCGAGAGCAGATTGAAGAGCGAAGTCAACAACTTATCTGAACAATTTGATAAAGCGATTGCAATGTTGAAATCTGAACATGAGACTGAACTAACGAAATACAAGCAAAAACTGCAAGATATGTCGGCGATGCATACGACAGAAATACAGCAAGTACGGGAAAATCACAATCGAATTATCGACGAGATTAAATACGAATACTCCACTATGATTGATAATCTAAAACAGGTCAAGCGGACCGAAAATTCGCTGATCGACAACGCGAGCGCTTACACTCAAAAACTAGATAGCAGCTTGGAAGCTTTAGGTGTTAACAGTAGCATTTTGAACGAAATCAGAGGGAAGGTTCAAAGCGAGTATGGTATCCTAACGAAAGCAAGAGAAGAATCTTTAAAGGCCAAAGAGGAAGAGATACGAAGTAAGGTTATGTCGTATTATCCGTCTCTTGTTACTTTTCTTTTTGTTGCAGTGATGCGAGTCGCATTGGAGAAAGCGCGCGAGTCTGCTGATGCCGAAAGAACTGAACTCATGACCTTAGTACGAAATTTAGAACTTAAGCTAGTCGAACAAATTCAAAATACCAAAGAGGAACGATGGACTCTTAAGCAATCCGCATCTGTACTGATGGCGCGTACTGCAGCGTTTGATCGCGAAATGGAGTTTGCGCGGTCAACTTTGGAGAGGGAACGAGAACAGTTACAGGTTTTTATTTCAAATTCTTATAATTAAAATTTCTTGTTGATTTTTTCGCAAATGTGTAAGGTTACAACGTATTTAGTTGCAAGTGCATTAGAGCAGGTAATAATTGTAACGGGAGTCAGCCGCAACACTATCGCTGGAGCTTGGAGGGCGAAGGGGGTTTGTGGAATGACAAGATTTTGACTTCTATTTTTTACCGATTTAATTTATGTATTTCTAGATTGTGATAATTTTAGACGCAGAATGTCTTACATTTTTTTAGTTATGGTATGTGGGCAAGTCGTTCTGACTTTGTAAATGCGATTGAAAGTTTGGGGCGCTAGTGAGACGTGGGATATTGCGTGGATTTAATTTTTCTGAATTTTTTCTTTAATTTTTGTGTTTTTTTAAATTTTCCTGATTATTTTATTTTATCGATTTTTGTGGCACTTTGTTTTTCTAATTTTTGGATCTTTTTTACTTTGGTCTATTTATTTTAATTTATTTCGTCCATCTGAATTTTTGTGGATATGATTACATTTTGTTGATATCTAAATGTCATGATTTTTCTCTTATGTTCAAGTATTTGTTTTCTTTTGATTTTCAAAGATCTCCTTTTTTAGGGTTTTAAAAGTTTTTACAATATTTTTAATATACATATTTATTTTGTAATTTATAATTTTATGTTTATATTTGCATTTTTGGCGTTTTTTACATTTTTTGGAATTTTACAATTTGGTAAGCTTCTATCATGTTTATTTTGAATTGGGGCTAAAAACTTTTTTCATTATTTTTTTAATATTTAAAATGTTGGTGTTGATTGTAAGTTTTATTATGAATTTTTGACTGCAATTTCTTGGATTCATGTGATTATTAATTTATTTTTCTGCATATGGGTACAACAAATTGCTTCTAATTAGTTTTTTTAATTTTTTTAGACCTTCAAAGAGCAGTTGCTTGTCGAACAAAATAACCAAATATTACAAATAACTGAAGAAAAATTGCGCATATCTGCGGAAAAATCGAAACTGGAGACTGCAGCGAAGCTCACTCAAAATTTTGATGCAGAAAGGAATAAAGTAGAAATAGAGGCGGCAATTCAGGTTGCGAAGGAGGCGGCAGAACGTGCCGATCACGAAAGGAAACAGTTGCACGGTAAACATGCAGAAGTGGAGTCGCTCAAGAGAAGTCTAGTAGATCAACAGCATCAGTTGTCCTTGAAAGAGCAACAGTTGAAACAGCTGATGTTGAAGGCCGACCAGAGGGCTAAAGATGGCGAACAGGCCTTGATTGATGCGAAATTATTGGAGGAGAACTGTAACGCGAGACTCCGGGACATACAAACTCAGTTAATGTCATTGCGTAATCAAGAAAAAAAATTGGCGCAGGAAAAAGTGATGCTATTGAGAGAGCAGACCAACATAAAACGTACCAAAAGATGTTCACTGTGTAGTAACGGAAATGCGGTGGATGGTGGAAATATTCTTATGGACACTGCTGAGCAAGATTTTTCGCCGAGGATGTTTGCCGTGAGTATGCAGGGTAGTAAAGGTAAAATAAAAATCAATAGCTACCTACACAAGGAGTTATTTTTGTTTCTAGTGTCTTCCAACAAAAGCGGGCACGATTGCTAATTTTCTTATTATTGTAACACGTAATATTAATGTGCATTTTATTACCCGGTTCGAATAGTGCAAGGAACATATCGTTAATTAACATTACACCAAAACAAAGAAACATGCCATGGCAAAAAACTGGTATAGAATAATTAATTCAATCCCAAGTGCAAAAGTTTAGGGTGAGCAAGTAACAAAAAGGGCGTAGTGCACAGGATGTGACAAGTCTTTGTTGCATATATTTTGTATAATCAAGTTTTTAAAGCGCACGCATCAAGTTTAATGGCACGCTTTGCGGGCCATTAAACGTTGTAATGACCTTGCAAACGATAATTACTTAATCGTTCCCTTTGCTGTCGAAACTCGAGGACTATGTTGTGAGGAAGCTATATATCATTCATTGAATCTATTGGAACCTTAATTAAACTTAGAACATGACACTCGTTCAACACTATTCCTAAAACAGAAGATTAGTGTCACTATTCAAAGAGGGAATGCAAGTTGTATTATGGGAACTTTTAACAACTAGTGTTGAAATTATTTGTGAAATGTGTTTGGCATTAAAATTTAAAAAATCGTGATGTTTGCTTATTAAAATCAAAATGACTTCGGTTGAAAAATTCAATGGCTTGTTGCAAAAGCAGAAGAAAAGTTGGTAGATGCAAAATCCAAATCCAGTAAAGCCTATTATAAAGAATATGAAAAGTTGATTATAGATCTTTAAACAATCTAATCACTTGTTTGAACTTGATCGTGTTGGATGATTAATGATTAAAAATAGAACGTAGTTACTTTTTAGCTGGATTTAGATTGATTAATACAATTTTATCGCCAAAAGACGTCTAGTATTTACTATTCGGTTTTTATTCTACCTTTATTAAAACCACATATATTGCTCGTTCTGCCAGATATTTTTTTCAAAATCAACTCACATTGCAGATCACAGATCCAGACATTGTAAGACTACGTTACGAAATCAATGAAGAACTACTGCCGATTCCTATACCGTCGGAGGAAAATGACCAAACCAAATAAGATAGTTTTGTAACGCTTTTTTAATTTGTTTCCTAAGATTTTTTTAATAAAACAGAGTATTTTATTTAGTACAATTAATAATATACATCAGCTAGCTACTTACACATTAAAAATAATTCTGTGTTCAACATAGATAAGTACACAGTTTCGATTCTTAATAGGCCGGTTTACTACTCATTGAAATATCAATATACAAAATTAACTAATATCTCTATACAAGATGGGCTGGAAAAGTGTAACCAAACAGTTGTACAAATTTAATTATTGTAGTACCATATGTATTTTAAGTTGGTAACACCTCTTGAAGTAAAATTAACTTACTTAAGTAAAATTAATACCTACCTATTAAAATAAACTTAGCTATATACATTCATAAATTCATTAAAGAGGCACTTTAGTTGAGGAAGTTCCTTTATACATAAATTTAAAAATGAAGATAAATTAACAATTTAACTGAAATATAATAATTCATCTGCAATCACAGCTTAAAAATCACAAAATGGACGGCAAGGACCATTGAGCTTACTGTACCTACATAACGTTACATTTACACACCAAACTTTATAAAACAGCATATAAAATTACGTTTCCTGTTTTTTTCCTTAATAAAATATATCTAAAAGTCTATACTGGCTTCCGTTTCACTTCCAAAAGCTGGGGATAGTTTTCTACAATGTTTAAGAGTATCCCGTCGATGTAGGATCTAAGTTGATTGTTGACGTCTTGCTGTTCTTTTAACGCCTGCTGAATCTGAAAATAGAACCAAGTTAGTTTCAAATTTTCTTTTAAACAAATGATGGGTTAGTTGAAGGAATGCAGTTACAGATTTTTTTTGAGTGTCACAATGGAGCACAAGACATTTCCGCCTAATGACCAATTAAAATTCCTTTCTATTCATCACCAGTGACTGACCATAGATATAAATTTGATATGCAATCAATTTTGATCCACGATTATGAAATGCAGGGTTTATAATTTATTATTTAATTAAACAGGGCTAATGGCTACTATTCAAAAATGTAAGTTTAATATTTCAAAATTTCTAACAGATAGTACCTAAGTAAGCTGGTCTTGGTTTTAATTTATGGAATTTTTATACATCTGAAACTCAAAACCTGTCACATAACGGGCGATCAAAAATGAGTTGCTGTTGAGTCGCCTTTGGAAGTTCCAAATTAAGTATGATTTCCTATGTAAACAAAAATTCCAAAGGTGACTTGACAGCAGCTATAATCTGTTAACCCAACAGATGCAGTTAAGCCACTCCCAATAAATTTTGGCCAATGTAATAACAGACCCGTTTCACAGTCACAAACTTAAAAAACCGGGAAATTTAAAATCGCATATCACATTGTATGAGTAAGTTATAAAGAGTATGTTTTGAATATTGACCTTTAAACACACAGCAGTACATAGTTTCAAATTGTTTATTAAGTTCAAAAAGATTAGTTTGTTCGTATAAATGAAATTGAGGCAAGGCAAATACGAAACGCAATGACAGGTTTGACGTTAAGGATGTCAATTTAGATACGGCAATTATAATTGGAAGCAAATAATTGCGTGTGTTACAGGTTTCGAAAATTCTGCCAATTAATGTTCATTTCAATTTGCCGGGAACTTTTTGGGAGGAGCTAGCCTCAGTATACTTTATGAGATCATGCAGTCTGTTCATTCGTCCTGATATATAAAATTCTGTATTCAACGTCAATATTTCACAATTTATGTGATATCTCGAAATTTTGAGACGTTAATGTGTTGATATTTAAAAAATTTCAAAACTTACACACTTTATGACATCTGTTGGGATTTCAAAATAATATCATCTAGGTACATGATAAAACGTAATTATCGTGGTGTCAATTGGGGTGTGTAACACGTTAAGGGGTTTTCCTGAATTTCAGGAGATCTCAGAAGGATCTTCTTCGAAAAAAATTGCTTTGAAAAACAGATAATTTTGCCCTTCAAAATTTTAATATTTAAAGCGCGAAACCGAAATTTTGATACACCTACTGAAATGAATAAGATCTTATGACAAAAAGCACACTGAAGCTAAAACTTTCATTATTTAGACAGTTTTTGAAATGTTAAGATTAAAATTATTTTTCCTATCAAATGCTAACTAAAACTTGGAATATTAACATTTTGAAATCATAGAATTTTGGAAATTTGAAATCTCGAAAGTGTTGAAATTTAAAGAAACTCTAATAGTTTAGGATTCTGTCATAGTTCCAAATATCTTGAAAGCAAATATTAGAAGTATAAAACTGAGAGTCAGCATGTAACATCATCGTTTTAGAATTAGATAGGTTAAAGCTCCATTATTTTCAGTTAGAACTTTGGGGAACAGGAGAATGTAATGCAAGAGATATTTAAAAAATTTTTTTGAAAATTTCCGGATCATAGGAACCAGCTTTTCTAACTTAAAGAAACATATTTTAAATACTTTATTTATTTGCGCTCGAACTCTTGCGAACCTTAGTATCTGGAGTGTATGTAAGGAGAAGACTTGTTTGCTCGTAATGCATGAACATCTCTCAGAACAATGTTGTAAATATTCTCACCGTTTCTATCGGGATAACACAATCTGCGCCTTAAATTCGAGATCTATATCGGTGTATTTGCGGTGTTTTTCTAAATGTGTTTTAGTCCAGTTGTTAGTGTTGGGAATGGCAATGTCTATTATGCAAATGGATTTTTGTGTTTTATTTATAAGTGTAATGTCTGAATAGTTTTGTCTGTGAGCAGTGTCCTATCCATAATTTATATGTGTTGTTTTCAAGTATTATCTGTGGAGTGTATTTGTAGTATGGCGTCTTGTCTGTTATGATATTATGTTTAAGGAATTATGATTTTAGCTACCTGATCGTGTCCATGTTTGTACTCTGTGCAAGTTGTGTGCATTCCGATATTATGTGTTGTAAACAGAGTCGACAAGAATCATGTGTCAGGTTTTGTCTTTAAGTATGTGTTTTTTTATAATTGTGTGTATTAATTGATCTGGTCTTGTATTGCTAACACGAAACCTTCAGTCTTTGGGAAGGTATCACATTCAGACAACCAAGAGTGCGTTGCTATAGAATCAACACAATCCTGCTTAACTTCTTGTGGAAATCATCCATGTATACGCTTTTGGTTGCATGTCTGTATGTTATTTGTGACGTATATAAGTTTGGGTGTGGTGCTGGTGGGTGGGAGTTAATTAGTTTCGTGTAGGTTAAGAGGTGTGTAAGATTTGTCTGCATATGTTACTGTTTTCTGTAGGACTGAAGTATCTGATTTGCTATAAAAGTATTGTCGTAAATTGATAAAAATTTCACCTCCAAATACATGGTGTTAACTGTCTAAAGAATCTAAAAAATGTTCTCTCCTACCAGTACCAGGCAAGGAAAACAAAAATAATGATCTCTTCTTCTAACCTCAGGAGAAATTATGACATTTTCGAGAACAGTAGTATCAGAAGTGTATAACATACGAGAAGTGTATATATAACATACGAGGAGGTATTTCATGAGTTTCCTACCTTGCTCAAAGTAGGTATGATGCGCGTAACTTTCGTGTCAAAGGTCGCACAAAAAACAGTTCTTGGTCTTATCACATACAAATTTGTAAAATTCTGATCAATTTCATCATCTAGCCAAGACTTGTAAAAAATCATGCAGGGCATACCATCCTTTTTCAGAAAAAAATTAAAAAACGCAATTTTGGGGACTTTTTAAGGGTGGCGACATTTTGTTCCTTAACTAACGTCAAATCGAAACTTTTATCTCAAGATAAAACAAGTGGTATTAGACAAAAAAATAAGACCTCATCAAAAAAAGTTTGAAAAAGGGTCTAGTCTAGGATACACTGCAGCCGCAGGTGAGAATCCTGTGTAAACTGTATCTAAGGACTCAATTGATGAGCTCGACACATGAAGTAGTTATATTTTGTATCGCGGAATCGTGTAAAAGCGCTTTTTGTTGCTAATTATAATAGCAACATAAATATTGCAGCTATTGTTTTACTTTGAATTCGTTTTTGATCATTGGGCGTAGTGTCTCGAATTAGTGCAACTTCACAACCACATGTTAATTATTAAAGCATTGCTATATAATGCCGATTAATTATTCTTCCAATCACCTTTGCAAAGTACACGGTTAAAGACATGAAATTTGATTAACAAAATACTGCATATTATGCCGGTAGGTATACCAACACACCACTACGTGCAAAGTGCGTACCTTAGCTAAACTCTCGTGATCGTGCAGCATTTCGCTCTAAAAACAGAAATAAACACACAATAAGCAACCAAACTTCCCAAAATAACGAAAGCAATTTATACGCGTTCGCAATCAACAAAACAATTGAAATTAATGATCTCTGATGATTGAAACATTGAAAAGCACGTTCACAAATCCCACAAGTAAATTGTGAAAGTTCACCTGATCGTGCGTCATCGCCTCCAGCTCGGCCGCCAGACTGGTCTCTCCCGCGGTTAGTAACCGTCCCTGTTCCACGCCGGCCGTCAGCAAGTTGGCCTGAAGTTCCTCGTTAGCTTCTTGGAGCTGTATATTTTTGTCCCTCAAAACCGCCATCTCTTGATGTAACTCTTCTAATCGCAAAGTTTCGGGTGACGTCGTGGGCAAAGCGGGCGTCCTAGCTTCAGATCGTAACCTTTCGACTTCGTGCGACAGATCTTTAATAAGATTCGTGTGAGCCTCTTCCTCCTGTATCAGTCTGTAACAGCCATTATTACAACCTACAAAAAATCTATCAAAAAAACAAACCTTTTCTCTTGTTCCTTAAATGCTGCCTCCCGTTCTTTACACATCTGCAGCTCATGTTTAAGATCTTGGATCTGATCGTAAAAATCTTTCCCCTCGCTTTCCAATTTTTCTATACGTATTCGTTGCCGACTAATTTCTTGTTTCAGGCTGTTCGCTTCCGCTTCGGCTGATTGCAACCGAATGTTGGCGTTTTCTAATTGCAGTTGCTTTTCTCTTTCGACTCGTAACATTAATTCTTTCGATCTTCGTTGCTCATCCTGTTAAAAAATAATTTCTTTTAATTGACAGCAGGAATTCTTGGGCTTAAACATTTTTCATGACTTTTTAGGAGAATAAAACCAGGGTTAATGGGTCTTGATTTCAAAATCCGTATTAAGAATTTATAATTGCGAAAATTTGGTAGAATTATGTTAGGGGTAGTTTAATTTGCGATTAAACAAGTGAGGTTGTGATGAAACATGCCTTGTTTGTTTGAAAACAATTGTTTTACTCTAGTCGCATAAACATCATATTATGTAATAGATATTCAATAAAACTGACCCAAATTTGATCAGTTAGTCCCTGGACCATCGCCTACCTATTATTGAAAACAGAATTGGAAACCGTTCGCGAGTTATCATGTACACAGACGGACGGCCGGAAAGTCCAAAATCATAAACGACCTGGATCGATCGTTAATAAGCGGCAACAGAACACAGCATTACACCTTTTAAAAGTTGGCATTAAACAGCCAGATCTACTTGACGTAAATGTACAGTGTAAAGGGATGATTTTATAAATGAAAAAATTGACCCATAGGTGACCAAACGATTTCAAAATGATTTTTTTAAACGAATTTAATTAAACATTCTCTGCTTGTCCCTGGTCGTTAAATAAAGAATTTAAAAAAAACGCTTTTTAACCATCTATATCCAACACTGAGTCAACTTTTTTTATTAATTGAAGAAATATTCACTAGGTTAAAAAATGTTTTTATTCTTTTTCTTTATTTAACGATGAAGGATAACCTTTGATCTATTACAGAATAATTATGTTACTACAATGGTAAACAATTTACTCAACCTAATGTAAAAAAAATTAATCTTACTAGTAATTTTTATTCAATCGTATGATAACTACACTGTTGAACAGAGAATAAAAAACTCTTAGTAATCGTGTAAAAATCAGTCAGTAACCGCTATCTTGAATTTCATTTTGACGTCATTTTTAGATTTGTCCTATCCAAGTAAGGACCTTATTTATATATTAAACTTTTAAGTTTTTTTTAAATAACTTTAAATCCGGTCGGTTCTTTTTTAAATTTTACTAAACGGAATGTTAGTCAACACAAAACTGAAAAACTTTGCTCATTTAACCTACTCGTTATCGTCAATAATAAGAAAGTTACACATGACTAAAGACCGGATTTCATGCTTTTATGCATTACCTACGTAAATATTGAATGCAGCTCAAAATAAATCAATAATTTATACGAACTAACAAAAATGAATCACGTTGGTGCCAAGAAAAAGTGCATATTTTGCATTTTTGGGGTTTTTGTGAATATTTAAGAAAAATTAGCGTTTTATTAACTTTTTAAACCATTTTCATTACAAAACAAGTTTCCAGTGGTAGTGATTGCAACAATTATATCTTTATTTACAAATTATAAAGATAAATAAAGAAATAATAAATCAAATAAAATAAAAATTATAAGATAGAAACAGAATAAAAGAAAACAATAAAAATAGAAAAAAATAAATGAAATACAAAAAAAATATGGCGCCCAAGTTTGTCAAATTATAAAACGTCGGCGGTGTTCAATTCAGCATTAATTTATAATGCAAGCACATTTTCAAGATCAACAAATGAGATGACGAATGTTGGCTGGGGAAAGAGAATTAAATGTTGCGGATCCTTCTGAAGGTACCTATGCTACAGACACTTACAAAAACACTTACTGTAAAGGTCTAAAGGAATAAGAGAATTACAATGCCTTGCATTTGTAATGATATAAAAGAACACCCTGCGTGTATATTAGTTAAGGCACAGATATACGCAAAAAGTTGTAAATGCAAGCAACTCGGACATTGCAATGTTGTGTTGACACACAAAAGTAATAAGGAGAGTACCTAGGCACTTGCACTTGGCGTTCCACAAGGAGAGGTCGTATTAAATTAGTAGATATGTAAAATAAAGATTGATTAAAAGAAATTGGTTACGGTATTGAGATCCACATTCTTTTAAATTGCTCATTAGCATTACACAACTCATTTTTGAAATAATAAATTTGTATAAAGCATTTATTGTATTTGTACAGCTAAAAAATGTGTAAAAGATTTCGTTCTGTATGAATTTTGGGGGCTTGTGCGTTGTATAGATAATGAACAGTATAACATATGAATGAAAACAACATGGCGCTGGCCGATTGTTGTTATTAAAAGAGATTGTAATAAACTAGTTAAATGTGAATTATTTTTACAAATATAGTAGTAAGCGCACCTTTAAAATAATACCCCGCAATTACAATGGCAGGTCACTTTAAATTGCAACGCGTTAGGAAAATTATGAAAAGTTCGGCCGAAGTTGAGCACATCAGTAAGGATTCTGTAACTGTAGTAACTCGCGCTGCTGTAAGTATAGAATGACTCCAGGATCTCCTGTATTTACTTGAGCAAGTTTAGGAGCTGTTCATCATGCTGTTACTGAAGGAGGCGCACACGGATCCAAAGAAAGTGAAAAAATTGGAGTACAAAAATATCGCGAACGTAGTAAACGATAGCGAAAGGTACGAATTCGCACGTGAAATGATACCGCACAAGATAAAGGTGCACGAGTATTACGAGATTATGAAGAAGAAATATGGCAAGGAAATCGATACACAGGAAAAGCATAGTAGTTCGGAAAGCAGTAGTAGTAGTAATAGTAGCGAGCCAAGTAGTACTGATAATAGTGATAGTGAGGATTCCAAAGATGGACATGATGACAATTCGTCAAATGGAGATGTAATGATAATAGACTAATCAATATTGTTAAGTAACGAATAAATTTGATACTTTTGCTTACCTGTAATCTGTCTTCGTAACGCATCTCAGAGTCACGCAGTTGTTCTTCCAGCATTATTACCCTGGCTTGTAAGGCAGCGTTATCGGCTTTCGCACGAGTGTAGCGCTCGTCATTGTGGTTTGCCGAATCCTGTAGGTAGCCCACTTGCTGTTGTAAAAGTTGAAACTGTAACAAAAGTAAGATTATGCACATGCTTTTTAATCATGGTATTGTAGGTACTATACCTACACAATTTAGAAACAATTAGGCTGTAGTGATACACACATACATTTTTATTAACCTTTTAATTTCTGCCTTTATGCTACTGCATAGTGTGGCAAGGGCCATGTCCTGGGCGCCATTTTTTCAGAGGTGTGCCTCCATATGATATATCTTTGCGCTTAAAAAAAGCTAGCGAGAAGTGATGAGGGAAAATCTTTCAAAGGTGTTGTCCAATTTACTTTAGTTGTATTTCATCTTGTTCGATTTTGTTACTATACCTCTTGTCTCCAAGAAACAGAAAATCTTGTTCAAGCGATCGTGGTCAAAATATATGATTGTTACCGAGATTATTATGGTATAAAAAGCCACAAAATTTGTAACTAGGATTAAAAATTCGCAATGTGTTGTTGATATTTTTTCTAGTAGTCTAGTGAATCTATCCCATTTACCCCATAGAAACCTTCAAATAAAATTTCTGTCCATGAAAAATAACTGTACAGATTAACATATCAAAAATTTTGCTGTGACTAGCACAGACAGATAACATCCGTACACTTGCGCGGCGCGTATCTGCACTTTCAGCTCTTGCTTTTATATTTAATATGTGTCGCAAATTTGGTTCAAATCGACCTATTAGCCACTAGTATAAGCTTATTGAAAATGGGTCAAATCCAATGACCCCTTGGGGTCACGCCTCTCAGTCTCTGCCAAACGCTTGAACCTATTTAGTTCAAACTTTGCACAGTTGACCTATATGCCACATGTAATAAACCTATTGAAAATGGGTCAAATCCAATGACCCCGTGGGTCATGCCTCTCTGCCTCTGGCAAACGCTTGAACCCATTAGGTTCAAACTTTGCACAGTTAACATATATACCAAATGTAACAAGCCAATTGAAAATAGTTCAAATCCAATGACTCCGTGGGGTCACACCGAGGTGCTCTGACGCTTTTTTAGACGCTCTGTATGGGTTTATTATAATTCGATTGAATAGGTACTTACTGTTGGATACTTACAATAAGTATTAGATGCTGGATGAAAACCTTTGTAGCGGTTATATATGCAATAGCAGCTCCAACAAATCGAAAGGAAATTGATCGCAGATTCAGAAAAGAGAAAAAACTGAATTCAGTTTTTCGCTTTTCCAGAAGGTAAGTACTGTATTACAAAAGGTTATAAAGTGCAATGGATCGGGGAATCTGAACCCCGTATGCAATAGATTGTGCCGTCTGTATTTCCCGCCCAAGGACCATGAGGAGAAATGTAAGCTATTTTGAATCATAAGTGTGTTTAATATTTCGCTAGCACGTTTCTTTCTATGCAATGCAGGGACTTTTCAGCACATCAATGTAACGTAGGTAAGTACCATTTCGATTCATTTTGTATTTTTTGAATTTGCTCTATTGCTGTTGCGTTAGTAATTAATTTTGATGATCTGGACAAAATGGGATTCTGGTTGACGTCATTCACGTATTTTAATACTGAACGTTTATTGGCTGAAAGTTACGAGACAACCTACTCTCTGTACTAACCTTGGGCGTGATCAATGTTTTAATCTCAGAGTAAGAAATAAAGATAGAGTACGCGTACGCTATAACAACGTGAACGTTTGTTTTGATCCAACATCTCAGTCAATTTGACCGTTGAGAGGTAGAAAGTAAACATTAGTCAGTGGCGTAAGGTTTATTTATTTTTATGGGCAACAAAGTTTGTTTTGTTTACATGTGCAAACGTATCACTAAATATTTATGTCCAAAAGCTGTATGTGTTTGAAAGGTCCCTATTGATCTATGATAAGGTATGGTGATACTTCAAAGTGGAAACTTAGAAGGAAATCTAAACACATTAAAATGCGAAAATTCCCGTATGCACGTCTATGACTTCAAAACACATACGGATGAAAGGTTATGTTAGGTAATTCAATAGTTCCACAAATAATACAGCTTTTCCCCATTTCAAAGGGCTCCCATAAATTAATACACCACAATCGAATAAGTCCTCCACTATAAAAACGCCTAAAAATTCAGGGATCACGTTTTAACGAAATAAACAAAATACCTCTCAACGGAAAACAAAGTAACAGCGTTGCCGTTGTGGTGCACTAATCACTATAACTTTTCTTGTTACGCCGTTTAATTGTAAGTTAAAATTGTTTGGGTTACTGAACTCTTATAAGCATCTAAAAACCATTTAAATTACTCGAGATGCATATATTATTAATATTCCCTTAAAAACTATCTCGTGCAATGTTAGTCAACAAACGAGATGATGCAACGCATAGATAAGCGTCAAGGCATCTCTATCTTTATTTCTTACTCTGAGGTTTTAATGAATTAAAGGTCTATTCACATTATCGGTCACGTCACGGTCAGATCACGGTACGGTCAATTATTGTAGCGTGTATTTCTTATGAACATGTTCTGATCGTAACCTGACCGATAATGTGAATAGGCCTTAAGGAATACACGCTATAATAATCGAGCGGACCGTGACGTAACCGATAATGTGAATCGGCCTTAACAATATCTATTCGCGGTACATTTTCAGGGACCCATTTTTTGATAATTATGTTAAATCAGCAGATTTTGCACTTTACCTCCAGTTATTTTTCCATTGACAAATTTTACTCTGCGCCATGTTTTTCTTGGAAACGTGTACCCGTATATCCGGCACATCTCATAACAAATCGTCAGCACAAACACAGATAAATTTATCTGTGGCACAAGGCAAAAACTCGTAGTAGTAGTATTTTCCTAAGTTTGCACGCACGTCATTAGTGTATTACAATTGAATTAGGTATGTTTACATAGTACCTATCTGCAATCGATTAAACAGAATAAGTATTGCTGCATTGAGATTGGTATACCCATTAGCATTACACCAACGATCCTCTACACGTCTACAATATACCAACCAGAACTGTTCGTATGGTTTCCCACTGACATACTTGTCATCTGTCATCTTGTATCGAATGCACATATACTATGTAAACCATAAACATACCTAATTTAGATGTAGGTAATACACCCATGGCAAACGTAGGAAAATCCTACTACATTATGATTTCGTACATATTTACTGGATGAAAGGTTGGTTTTAACTTTTCTATGGGCAAATTTTTTATGGCAAACATATCTTTAGAATTGGTATAGGCTGTATGTTTTTGTGAAAAGCGTAACAGATCCCAAATACTTATGCTCTTGAAATAATTTTTTCTCGGTTCAATTTCAGAAGCAATATGTTGTATATCTACTAGCAGTGTTGCTTTTCTAGTTTTTAGCGGATTTTCCTCAAAGTGAACAATCGCTATTGGCTGCACTTTGACGTCCGTCCGTCTGTCCGTCACACGTACTCTTTCTAAACCACTGAACCGATTTTGGCGATATAGGACTCATTTGAAAGGGCTTGGTCCAAGGATTCCGTTCATACCCATATTTTTTGGTTTTGCGCATGCGCAGTGTCAAAAATTTGGTTTAACGCATGTGCGATGCTAACTTTTTTATTTATGAAGATATTTAAATGAAACTTTATATGTAAACACTACGAATATAAGTATAATTAACGACATTTTCAAGGTGTTGTTTTGCGCATGCGCAATGCCAACTTTCTTATTTACGAAAGCAGTTAAACGAAATATCATATGTAGGCATCTTGAATGAAACTAAAACTAATACCGGTTTCAAAATTACTGTTAACGCACGCTGTATGCTTTATTTATGATGGTATTCAATGAAATTTCTAATGAAGACAATGCTAAATGCTATTTACGAAAGCATTTATAAAAAGTTCCATATGTAGACACTTCGAATAAAAGTATAAACTAATGCCCATTTCAAAATTTATATGTATTTGTATACGCTCCACTATTTTTCATTAAACTGTAGACTTCGACGATAGGCGGCTCATTTGAAAGAGAATGGGGTAAGGATCTCGTGCCTACCGGTATTTTTTCCTGGTCCTAGCATTAATATTATTAGGAGGAAAATACGCTCTCGTCATTTATGTTTGCATAATGACTTTTTAAACTTTATTTTTCGTACACATTCATCAGTATGTCTAAATGATTTTATCACCAAAGCGATTGTTCATTAGTGAAAACGATAAGCTCGTTACGATTATAACAGGCAAAGTGGCGCTACAGAGAAGCGACAATCGATTTGTTTTAAACCGAGAACGATATGGCTGTGCACGACCTGTGGTTCCAACAGGATGGGGTTACCTAACACAACGGACGAAATGTCGGACATTCTACGCGATAGGTATATTTGACGGTTATCGTAGTTGTGACGTCAATTGGCCAACAAGATGGTGTGATTTGATCTCGCTAGGCACTTGAACGATATAATTATTTTGTAAATAATGGCATACCTACATCGGCCTTTCAAATAAAACAAGTTATTTAATATCTCTCTTACACACTTCGTTTTATTCCATTTAAAAAACCCTTTATTATAAATAGAAAAAATATAAATAGTAAGTAGACTCGCATTGTGAGAGGGGGAGGGGGATGAATCTGTGTAACCAGAGCCAACTGAAAACGCAATAGCTGGAAAAGAGGGAGGTTTCCATATAAAAAATTTGAAAAATCGAGTAATAATGAATTGTAATTAGTAAAAGCACATAAAATTCATGTCAATGTCGAGGGGTTAGTTTTGTATGCAATACTCCCCACCATTCCTCCGTTTCCCATCCACCAAATTAGAAATATACGGTTGAGATACTGCCGGTAATGGAGTGGCGCTCCATTTCGCCGAAACTTATTTAAAGGAGCTTTTGAATTAGAAATGATAAAGGAATATAATTAACTATTTAGTAACCGATACTAAAAATAACCGCTATTAATTAGACGCTTTTAAATGTTATCATTAAAGAAATTATTCTTAATATTGTTTTATTATTATTCTCAATTCAATGCACCAAATCTAAAATATTCTTTTATGTGTTTTAAATGGTTTGTGGTTATAAGGTGTAATAACAGTTGCGTTTTTAGCGCATTTTTGCAAATTTATTTGTTAAAAGTAGCTTTTAATCTCACCTTGGCTGGGTGGCTGGCAGCAAATGTGAGCGCGTAGAAGAACTCTTGTAGAAAGGCAAAGGGTGTACGTGTATGTACAAGGCCGTGTAATTTGTCAACCTTAGGGACAGGGCTACATGATGTGGGGTTGGCGACATCTGGGCGTCATCCTCGAGCGTATAGTTTACTAACGTGAAGGTTTTTCAGTTTTTTCCTATCTTCTACTACAGTTTTGGTCCGATTCTTTTCAAATTGGTGTCGTCGGAAAGATGTTGTAAACGCGCACAACTCCTGTGTTGTTTTTTGGTGATGGAGTGAAAACTTCAACCGCGAATTTGGGGTGAACGGGGCGTCGGAAGTGGGTACCGTCAAAGGGAATGTGGTAGCCCCCGACACGATCTTCCTGATGGTGGAGTCAGATCTTCAAATGGGAATTGCGGGAGAACGGGACGTCGGAAGTGGGTACCTAGGTGGGTACCGTCAAAGGGAATGTGGTAGCCCCAGACACGATCTTACTGGTGGTGGAGTCAAATCTTCAAAGAGAATGCGGCAACCTCCGACTAGCTTTATAGTCTATGCTTAATAGATTATATTTATTATTATTTTTCCTACCACAAACCGATTGTCGTACGTCTTTTTTTTAAAAAACAGTAAATATATTTGATAAACTTACTTTACGACTTCTATTTTTAAATATAAGTGGCTAATAGTATACTGATCTGCCACATAAAAATGCGCTGGTCCCTTCGATCTCACACGAGATCATTTTTTTTGTAGAATTTAGTACCTATAGTCATTTCAATGTAGGAACGTTTTTAATTGTTTGATATTTTTGTTTTTAGGTAAATCAAGAAGTTGATATTTTGTTTTTTTTTCTTCTTTGTTACACGGGGTAAGAACATTTATACTACAGAGAAGCGCTGCAGGCGGTAAATCAAAAGGGCAACCCTGTGAAATCACTCTATGGGGGATGTTAAACACTTAAAACAAACCAAAATTTATAGTTTCTACAATAATAAAATAATAATATAATAATAATTATTATTATAAGATAAATTAATAATAAATAATATAATAATTATAATAAAATTATAAGATAAATATAAAAAATAGAATTTTTTGCTCATAAACATTTCTTACCCTGTCATTATTTTATGTTTTGCCCTCGGTTTTGCCACCAATTGTGAAATATGAAACACCACAGGTGGGCCATAAAAGAATTTGTTACTTGTGCTTATTTGATTTATATTCAAATATACCGGATCAACTCCCATCCCAGGGTTGTTGTTTTCTTTTATATTAGCGAAAAAACCCTTCCTGGAATAAGTGGTGGAGATGAATACATTGGATTGTTGAGCTAGCCACCAGGGCAACACGGCAACTTTGCGAGATCGTGACATATTTAAATAAAATCAAAACTACTAGTACAAGTGGGATTTTCGGTATCGCATTGTAACTAGACATTACAAAGAACGGCTAAATTATATACTCGTACTTATACTTTGTACAAGACAAACGAACGAACCTAACATTTTTTTCTCACTTAATGACTTAACAACATGAAGTCCCTCTTTCCATTATGCAAATGTTTTCCCACATTTTATTGTACGTAAATACAATACCTATGCTAATAGATATTTCTACAGAAACTTAATGTTTTTAGGTATAGGCACTTACCGTATTGAAATACTTCTGTATAAAATATAGCTCATTTTTGTATAGTGCAGCTTTCATATTCTCATTGCGATGGAGTAATTATTGTATTATGAAGATGATACTTTACCCGAGAATATTTTCTTTCACAATAAACAAATTAACATTTAAAACACTTCAATATGACGCTGAATGAAAATCAAGAATACACTTTGAACGTATATCAGAATCAGATGACCTTCAAATTTACTCCCACCCCATGAGTTATTTCCTTTATACGTTTGTTCCTAGCGATAGGTAGGTAGGTACCTACTGAGTAAGCTCCTGCGTTATTTTGGTCAACAATAGTGAAATTTTTTACAATTCGTTCATTTTGTTTGGAAAAAAGGAGTAAAAATTGATGTTCACAGGGTTGACTAGTATTTTGGGAATTTTTAGATAGAAGAGGAGAGGAAGCAATAATGATTATGGTTCCACCTTTTATTTATTGCTATTGGACATATTTGCAAGGATCCCTTTTCCATAAACTCAATAAAAACGGAGTGGCGGATTTTCTAACTGAGTTAAAGGGTCGGATTTTAAGATCATACTTAATGAGTTTGTGAAAAAAGGCGATAATGACTCCCATTATTTAAATCATTTAAATGGAAGCGTTACAGAGATATTGATATGATTTTTACATGCGGGAATAACGGCCGTGTTGTCATTTACAAAAATATGGAAAATATGGCGACCTCCCTCAAAATTAAGGTCATTGGCAAAGATGGTTGAAAATTAACAGCAGTTGTCATCTATTGACATGGTTTTTTTAACCTTATTTTTTATTTTCTTCTCTTTGTATCGTGATCTATGCGTTTTAAAGCCAACAGTTCTTTTCAAAGGTATTTTCTAGTGCAAAGGTATCTACGGTAAGAGAAAATACTTTATAAAGATCATGTAACCTTACTTTTTAGGCTCAATAGCTTTAAAGGGGATGGCTTTTGATGCTTCCATTTCATTAGAAGATGCTCATATTCCTCGTCATATTCCACACGATTGTGCTTAATGCAATTCAACGAAAACCTACCATGTGAGTGGAAGTTGTCGAAGATGTAAGAGAACGTAGCATCAATTTGAAAATTATCTAATCAACCTGGTGAACGAAAACATGTCTATTTGTTATTATTACAGTCTTTCTATGAGGACGCATAGGTTCATTTATGAGAATAGATTTATAGTTAAAACTATATCACATGGGCAACTGAAATGAACTTTTCAGTGATGGTTTAATTAGAACGACTATCCCCCAGCAACGTTTGAATGAATATTTGAAATCATTAACCGGAGAGTGAAACTGTGTTTAATAAAATAATTTTAATTGTAATTATTGTTTAGTGATACATTAAATTGTTTTTATATAAATGACATTTGATATGTTACCAAACCAACACTACATATAAATGTTTTGTTTTGCAGGAAATTCAAACTGTCCTCAGACATTTTGGATCACCCGGTATATGGAATATCAGTATTGTCGTGTTATTAAAGCTCAAATTATTGCCAAAATGTGAAGTACTTTGGAGGTGTACTAATTTCAACAGAAGACCGCTTTCCCAACGAAATTTCAACGCCCTTTTGAAGCAATAGTCTTGGTTTTCGTACAGAAGGTACCAAATTACAAAAATGCATGAAGGCAATCATTTTTCGATGTAATACAAAGGTGGCACAGTGGCATATCCAGCCGGACAGATGGACGGGCGGAAAAGCGGACAAAAGTAGTGGGTTTTTTTCAATTTTGAAAATGAGCTAAAATCACTGGCAATACGCCAATAGAAATTAGTTTCTCCTTCATTGGGTTTTCATGGCATTTATCGCTTTCATGTAAACAGAAAGGTACATATTAACGACCTTCCCACGGATTTAAGAGAAAGATTAACTCGTCACGGACTATTTTTAGTCCATCGCGACAACTTTTCGTCTGTTTCAGTTTAAAAAAATTAAAAAAAAGGTTGTATTTACTTGATCTGAGATTCCATCACACCATTCGTGGGCAGCATTTTTTCTGATACCATTTGTAGAGGCTGGCAAATGCGGTAGCGGCTTAAACAAACCTTGCGGGGGCTGAATTAGCTGCGAAGGTCCTAAAAATTCGAACTGTCCTTCCCACATGTCGTAATCCAGTTCGGGAGTATGCGGGGTTGAAATCGATTCGACACTATCACTCATATTTAAATTTTTGCGTAAATTCATTTGATTTGCACTTATTAAGCGATGTATGGCACCTACACTGAGAAACTAATAACTGACGTACTCGTTACAAGCGCGCAAACAAATGTCACTGATAACGATAACGAAAAAGGTTTTATGTATTGATATGCAGGGACGTGATAACCCAAACAAAATCACCCGATCTACAAATAACTACGGTTGCCTGCAGCAGCCAAACCGGCAAAAACATTAAATTTAGTTGGTCTATTTGTAGCTTATGATCCACACTTGAATCAAAATTCGCGTACATTTCATTTAGGTCATCTAGTGAAAATACGTGCTTTATCATATTACGCCAACGGAACGATTGGCCCATAAGAGCGGAAGTGCTTAGTTTCCGCTAACTTGAGTCTAAACTTTACTCATTTTGATAATAAACCGCACATCGTTACTAATGTCCTTACTAATTAAAGTTTACGTCTATGGCACTTTACCAGTGAATCTGTCGTACCTGGTACCGAAAGATAGCCTTTCCTATCATTGATAACCTTAACATATTTTTTAATCCTAAGGTCATTGCTTCGCATTCTTCGCCGAAGCAAGGGAAGAATCTAACAATAAAATAGTAAGACACTAATTATGGATTTATTGATACTTGCTCAATTCTTTAGGAAATTTACGGTTTAAAAAGAGCAAATCTTGAGCGAAGGTCCGAATATGACCAAAACAACTTCCGTTTTAAATAAATTGGGACGTGATTCGATTTTGATGACGAATTTAGGCCCATTTCTCTGAAATAGACACATCAGAGTTAGTTTTCGGAGTTCACGGAAAGCCTGTAGCGGTACAATCTTCCCTTGTAGATTGTTTTCAGGACATTGCCCTAAAGCGCTACTATAGTAGTTTACATTGACCCTTCCTCGTTATTCAACTAGGTAGGTACTTCAGGTTTGCGTGTTTTATTTGATTCTGTATTTTGTAAAGGATTGTCAAAGACTCCTCTGTAGCTGTAGAGGTGAGTTAAAGGGGAGGAGAATTTAAGTACTTTGGTTAAAATTTCAAAAAATATCTCTATAATCAAGATAACATTGCGCAGTTTGCGCATGCGCATATCTGATTTTTACAATATTCTTGTCTTTAACTAGAAAATCTTTGGTTAAAATTTCAAAACAATATCTCTATAAGAAAGTTCACACTGCGCATGTGCACATCTGATTTTTAGGATATGCGATAAGCTTGCCTTTACTAGAAGCATCTGCGGTTAAAATAAAAAAATATATATCTCCACTAATAAGAAGCTTGGCATTGAGCAGTCTGCGCCCCCTCCCCATTAATCACCTACCATAAGATAGTAAACATCGATAAATATAGCATGCTACTACCTTATAACTCAACTATTCACAACTCACACAATTTATTCTTGCTTTTTATTATCCACTCCCCCTACCCCACAATATCTCATTAACTATTGATCTCGTCGAAAAAATATTCTATGTAGGGAACTTTATGAAGATTTAATTTAATTTAATTTACGTAAGTATAATACGTAACCTGTGGCAAGGCCGGAGGGGGGGGGGGAGCTGCCCCCCCTTGCCCCTCCCTGCGTACGCCCATGGAAATACCATAATTCTATACAATTTCCACAGTCATCCGCTCAAGCACCGTTTTGAACACACAGATATTTGCCACCTTGGGTGGTTGGGCCACTATGAAAGAAAATCAATTGAAAGTTGCTTTGAGAGTAACGGAAAATTCACCTGTTTCTACTGGAATTTCGCAAGCCCTAGCATTTTCCAAGAGGATTAAGTTTGATCCATATCTCCTTCAATTACTTAAGAATTGGATAAAAAAATTGGACCGAAAAATGTCCGCCGTATGCTTCGTTTTATCCGGCGGACTCAGGTATGAGCGCGATCTCTCCACTTTCGTTTGTTTCGTTTTGCGCTGAGTAAAAACAGGAAGGAAAGAAAAAGAAGGGAAGATGAAGCGACCTGTAGCACGTAAAAAAGAAATTCAAAATGGGGTTCGAAATGAAACAATAAATAATACAAGCGCATGTAATTACTAAAGACCTGTATAAAACATAAACTGGTTAAGTCGTGCACAGACAAGAAAACAAATAAAAGTTACCGCCTTGAATGAAAAAAAAAGGAAAAGAACTCCATGGAGAACTTTACACCCTGTAGTAGTATAGTATAGCCGAGAGTATAGCCGATTCAAAATCAATGTCACTGGAAGGTCAAACGTAGACGTCGGTTTGAAACTCTGCTAAATCAATGTCACTGACGGCCAGTTGCAAAAAAAATAATCCAGGATTATTGTTTAATCCGGTATTAAGACATTTGATTGGCTTGGTCAAACGTAGACGTCGGTTTGAAACTCTGCTAAATCAATGTCACTGACGGCCAGTTGCAAAAAAAATAATCCAGGATTATTGTTTAATCCGGTATTAAGACATTTGATTGGCTTTATATTGCAGTAGGCAGCCAATCAAATGTCAAAATTCTTGTTAACAGACTTGGCAAATAATGTAGGATTTTGATTATAATTTGCTTTCCCGCAACCGACCGTGAAGGTGAAACGTGGACGTGGGTTCGAAACTCTGCTAAAATCACTGTCACTGAAAGGTCAAACATAGACGGGGGTTCTTGCCTAAACTAAAGTGGTTATGCGCTAACGTCAAGGTCAAATGGTTCTGAACTAGGGTCAAGCAGGACCTTGAGTAGTTGTGATCGTTGCCTTCTAGGTAAGAGGTCGGTTGTCAAAACTAAAGTGGTTCTGAACTATGCTCATTGAAGCACAATACATAATACACCCAATTTCGACGTGAGCGTCCTCCAAATAAAAATATCCGTTTCAACCATTTCACCTGATAAAGACGTACCCAAGATCAACAAAAAAAACCTTGGGGAGGTTCCGCGACTTTACACTGACCTTTCGGTAACCAACGAGTTTTTTCTCATGCAAGCTCTCTGCCAGCTGCAGTTATCATTTTTCCAAGGTGTGGCCATTTTTCAACTTGGAGATTCCTACGATAAGGTAGAATTTCTGGTCCAATGGAATTTTGGCGGCTCACGAGAATGCGACTGTTTCTTACAAAAGAAATGTTGAACACTTTGGTTTTAATAAAAGATTTAAAAAGCAGCATAATAGCGAAAATTTAAAATTTCCCACAGGCACAGATTTGATAAATTCAAAATAATTGAAAAAATGAGTTTTACCTTAAAGTTGGCCAGATTCATGAACCTTTGATTAAGGACCATAATGAATTTTTGACCATTGTGAAGAACATTAACTTACCTACATACTTTCTTTTTCAAATGTAATATCAACCGCATTGACATCTTTTAAGATCAGTCAAAAATTATCTGGCGACTCGAATTGTCATTCTTCACAAAAAAAATCCAGAAAACGCTTAGTACTATAATAAGAAAAGACTTTCTATTGTGAATGGGCATCAAAAACATAATACAGGGTGTTCCATTAAAAAAAAACATGACGACATACACATACACACCACTCTTATGGAACATCGTGTATGCCTACAAATATTTTTAGGTTATAAGGTTCCTCGCACGACAAAACATTTGTTTAATAAATGTTTCTATAATCCTACAACTATTTGAGCGTTATCGGTCGTCTACCTGCTGTCAGTTTGTAGTATACAGTGTGTTCGCCATTATTAGATTTTATTATTTATACATTGTTTCATGTTATTTTCTTCGTAGCACGAAAAAGATTTTATCTTGTGTTAAATCTACGTACCTATTCAATTAAAAAATGTTAATTAATGCAACCAACGTTGTAATCGATGGTCAAGAATAATAGATCACCCTTCAGAAAAAATTACTTCGTTACACCTGTAGAGCAAGCACATTTGCAACTCGAATACTAATTACGTAAAATTGCGATTCGTGGAATGAAATCTACCATCACGTATTCAGGTTCTATCTCTCGCAATTACCGACTTAATTAGCTACCGAGCAGATTACTAAAGTTTTCGTATTTTTTAAGGCACGTAAATTGCGAATTAAATTCAAGCAAAGATATTTTACTGGCCACATCAAATCTGTATAACAGTTTCGTCTTACAAATGAATCGAATTACATTCTTGGCCTAACGTTCAGCAGCTGTTAAAACGGTAAAGCGCGCGAGGAGATAATTAGGTACACTTGTGAAGAGGTTAATTACGTCCATTTAAAATGAGGTACCAGTTTTAACGCTGTAATTTGAAAATTAAAGAAGATCGAATTAGCATTTAAACGTGTATGTTTACCTAAATTTTAAATGTTGCAGACGTGTAGAAAGTAATTTACGTTTAATATCATTATTAATTAATTATCTAATTATGTTAACTGACAGCTAAATCTAAAAAATAAGCTAGTGTAGGTAATAAATTGCAAAGTTAGGAAATGTTTTTATAAATCACATACCTACAAATAACGTTTTCTTTAATTTCACTAATCCTTGTCTCTGAAAGGAATACGATATTTTTAACGCTTAGACATTTACAAAAATTTTAATTTTTTTGTCGATTTATAAGCTATGGTAAGTATATTATTTTATTTTTAAAAATAAAACTTTCAAGATAGCTGTAAATGTTAACGTTAAACCCTTTGGCAATTTGTACTTTTGCCCATTTCTTTTGTGATTTTTGAAAAACTATTGCCACTATTGGTAAAAATCAAGAATAACTAAATAATTATTAGCTAGTAGGTGCCTAATATTTTGTATTCGACGTATGACAACATGCGTTGAATTATAACGAATGCAAGACTTCGATAAGCACGGTACTGGTTTCAACAAAATGTGTCATCTCTTCATAATTGTAAGAAAAACAATCGTTTTAACATTGTAAGCAGAATACTAATTGAAACAGTCAACATGCTCGTAAAACATAGCGAATTGCGAAGTGTAGCAATAACAATCATGCATGATTTCAGTGACTATCAATTAAAATTATTATCAATACACCGATGACTTAGTGAAACATTGTCATTAACTCAATATCATTTAATATGAGTGAATACGACATAGAGTGTATCTTTCATTTATCTTATACAGGGTGTAGCAACTAATACTCCTCGGATCATGATTCCTTTAGGTACTTATCATAAAAGATACCGAAAAAAATCTTGGAGTAAATTGTGCACACCATGTTTCTAAAATAATTCTGATTACCTACCAGTTTTTCCAGAAAAAAAACGGAAAAATTGAAAACTTTGGGAAAAATTGGCAACACCTAATTTTCACCTTTTCGCATTTATACGTAAACAAAACTATATTGCAATATTCTGTATGTTGTCGAACCATTTTGAATTTTTTTAAATTTTCACGTTAAAATTTTTGGAATTTTTCTGAATGAGAGTCGAATGTCAAAGGAATCCACAGAAAACAAAAAAAATCGGGGACATGTACAGCGTGGTTCAAATTCTTGGTTCACCATTGCGATCTCCGTAACGGTAAGTGATACAGAGAAGGTTAAAGGAAGCAAAGTTTCCTCTTTTTGTGGATGAAAATCGCATTTTAACTTTTTGAAAAATTTTGGAAAATAACT